TGATTTAATTAAAACGACTTTCTCACGAGATCTACCATGAAATTCAAACCATTCTGATCTATAACTTTCCCCTTAGGTTTTATTTCTGAATACAGACGATGTTAACTGAGTTCACAATGAAGCATTCATTACTTGTGAATAATGTAACGTGTGTATCATTATTCCTCAACTAAATATTTTTTACCTGTGTATTGTGATAAATGTGAATGTTTTTTTCATAATCAAACAGTGTCAACTTTTGCACATTGCTAAGAAAAAATATTATGTTATATTTAACTTTCTATACCCATGTACTTACCGAAGTAAAAAAAGAAACAGAAGACACTGTAATTTATTTGTATTTTGCTGGCATTGGTTGGCATTGTAATCTGAACTGATTGATCTGAACGAGAGATAATTGGGTTATATGTAATTGCAAGCAAAAAAAATATAAAAAAATGGAGCAGCAGGTTATAAGTACCACAAGTAATTTCTGCTTTAAGCCTACCTAGAGTGGATATATTTTATATTGAGGGACTGTAATCTCGTACACAGAAGCCAGGAAAGCTGCTTAATGAAAAGAATTATATCATGTAATATCATTACAGACGCTTGTTGTTGAAGAAGTACGTCTGTGGCTTCTTCACTTTTGTTATTTAATATATTTCATCCTCTCTGATTAGGGCGGTCTTGGTAGCAAAAAAGAACGATGCATTTTTCTATTTTCTGACCTGCTGTTAATTACTAGCGTCAAGAGGAAGAGTGGGACGATACGAAAAACGTCGTCTGCTTCGTAAGTTAAGAGTTTTGACGTTTATTTTTCTTCAGTAATGGATTTAAAAACATTTCATTTTAGCTTTATTGTAGTGTGTTTGTGTTTTCATCTCCACTTCTCTGATTACTATATCGAAACGGATTTTTAAAATGTTACGAATGTTTTCTGTTATCATTTGTTCGATGAGAAGAACCAACAGATCATTTTTAATTTGTAACTGAAGTGTAAGTTTGGACGATAAATAAGCATTGTAATGTGCTCACAACAAAAAGTGCAGGACTTCTTTAGTGGCAACACGCCTCGAACCCTGGACCCTTCGTTCTGCAGTCTGCACGCTAAGCACTAGGTCACGTTCAGCTCTGTATACTATTGAATGTGACCTAGTGGTTAGCGTGCAAACTGTAGAATGAATGGTCCATGACTCTTACTAACCGTGTGTTCTTTGTGTTGTCGTTTGACAACGGTTCAAACCCTGTGAGCTGCACCTATCGGTATTTCACAGAGAAATTGACACTCAACTACAGTTCATGCGTATTAGGCTCGAGGATAAACATTGGTTAAGAGAAGGGAGGGATGTGGTGGTTTGAGGGTTGAAAAGCTTTAACTAGTACTACCTAGTAACTTAATCCTTTGGCTCAGTGGTTTTGTTTTGTTGTCATCATCTCATAGGAGAGATATTGACCCTAAAGAAACTCAGATATTTAAAAGCCACAGTATGACCCTGGGTTGAGATACACATTTTTATTTATAGGTACAATATACGAACCCTAAAGAAACTCAGATCTTTAAAAGCCACAGTATGACCCTAAGCCACAGTATGACCCTAAGCCACAGTATGACCCTAAGCCACAGTATGACCCTGGGCCACAGTATGACCCTAAGCCACAGTATGACCCTAAACCACAGTATGACCCTAAGCCACAGTATGACCCTGGGCCACAGTATGACCCTAAGCCACAGTATGACCCTAAGCCACAGTATGACCCTAAGCCACAGTATGAGATTGTTCATTTGTAGAACTGGGGTGTTATTTTAAATAACGTTAATGCTCTGTTGTGGTATTTCCACTATATTTTGATCCACAAGCCAAATAGAAAGCTAATTACAATAATTCATAACACAAGTAAAGTGTTTCTGATGGAAGCTACAGTATTAATTTTGCCAATGTCGAAAGAATTTACTCGGATATATCTCTCGTGTAATGATAAATTTATATAAGAGCTTTAAATTAATATAATTTTAGTTTCGTTGATAAAACCCCTGTGCCTCAATTTTTCCAGATTACATACAAACTCGTATATTGTACCTATAAATAAAAATGTGTATCTCAGCCCAGGGTCATACCGTGGCTTAGGGTCATACTGTGGCTCAGGGTTTATTAACGTTATTTAAAATAACACCCCAGTTTTACAAATGGACAATATTGAATACTTCAGAGACCAATAGGAATACTCCAGTAATTATAATAAAAAAAAGGGTATTAAATATATTAGTAAGAATGTACAGTGAAAGTAAAATCAAAGTATTTTTAAACTATTCACTCAAATTAAAAGTAACCACAAAACCGTGATATTAATGGGCATCTCAATAAGAATGCATCCTAATATAAGAACCAAGGAAACGTTTAGCATAATTAATTTAGATAAACGTCTCAGCCAAGACGTTATCAGCCTCCTCTTGTCGAGTACACAGGATAGTTATTATAACAAAGTCAAATATACTATTAATGTTTTTCTTATCTATTCGTACAGGGCGGATTTTTAGTTTATAAGGACACTTGAGTAAAATAATAGGAGAATATGATATATCCATATCCAGTGATGACGAGGCCTTTCACCCAATACCAGGTCAGCTGTGATACGACAGATATAGTAATGGTCTAAGTGCTATGTATATATATCATCATCATCATCATCAACTTTCATGAACAACAACTGTTAGAGTTTGAATCAGATTATCCAAATGAATTTTATTTATCATTTATATTTAGGTCATTCACATATCAGATTCTTAGGTAATAATTAATAAAATATTTGTTTTTAGTTTGACAGTCCTTAGAACGAATAATTTTGTAGTTTTCTGTGTTAGGTTCTCCACTGTTGTAATATCTGTGTTTTTACAGCTTCATTAACTAGAACGATCTTAATTAAAATATTCATCCACGATACATAGTTTTCCTTAATCGTGTAAATATTCTATTCCACCAGATATTTCTTGTTGCAGACTTTGTTAGAGTATCAACTGAATTAGTTGTTACCAATTCTATACATTAATTATTATTTTTTAATAACAAATAGATCATTTCTGGAAACTAAATTATAGCTTTTGTGTTTATCATCTCGTGCTTATTCTGCATTATTGCAAAAAACTTTAATAGTGCAATAATTTTCATTAACCATCTGATATCTATACTGCTTTATCTAACATGTAATAGGTTGTTACCGTCAATGTTTTGCAGCCTGAAGATGAACAAATACAAGTTGTTATATATATCATATTTCTACACTGCTTTATTTAATATGTATTAGGTTGTCACCATCAATGTTTGGTTATCTGGAGATGAACAAATAGAAGTTGTTATATATCATATTTTTGTTTTGTTTTATTCAATATGTATTAGGTTGTCACCATCAATGTTTTGCAGCCTGAAGATGAACAAATACAAGTTGTTATATATCATATTTCTATATCGCGTTATTTAATATGTATTAGGTTGTCACCATCAATGTTTGGCTATCTGGAGATGAACAAATACAAGTTGTTATATAGACTTCCTTTGGACAGTTTGGACACAGTTAAGAGTAAGTCTTGTAAATATTTATTGGTACAAATATGCTAATCTACTTATATAATCTAAACCAATAAATCTTTAAATCTATTGATAACAATAGTGTGATGATCGTTTACCCCTTGAGGTGTAGTACAGAATAATATCAGGTGGTCATACCAATAGTTTTATAGTTAATCAATCTGGATTTAATATGAAGTTTATTTTGAGGCTATAAAAATTGTGGTCATTTTATAACGTTAAAAGATCTTTGATACATTTTATAACTTTAAATACTTCGGGAAAATCTGATATTTTCCGACGAAAAACTAATGCTAACTTATGTAAAATGACGAAAAGTATTAGTTTCGTATGTAAGATGGGGTTTCGATATTAAATCCGAGGTATTAGTTTCGTATGTAAGATGTGGTTTCGATATTAAATCCGAGGTATTAGTTTCGTATGTAAGATGGGGTTTCGATATTAAATCCGAGGTATTAGTTTCGTATGTAAGATGTGGTTTCGATATTAAATCCGAGGTAAAAACATGACGATTTGTCTGAGTCAGTTAAAAATAAATTATATACATACATTAAAATAATACAGAACAAGAAATAATAATAATACTTTGATGCTTTTTGAAATATCGTTTTTTATTTCTCTCAGTTTAAACATCTCTCTGAACTAAACTGAAAATTGAAATTTGGCAATATTGAAATATTATTGTTTATTTCTAAATAAAATCTGTACAGAAATAACACAATTATTAATATTCAAATATTAGACTATTTTATTAGAAACAAACAGTGGCATGAAAATGTTATTTTTTTTTTTGTTTTAACTCTTAAGATTAACACATATAAATGCTGTATTTTCCTAAATTTGAAGTTTTAAGAGGTTAAAAGTTTAAGATAAAAATAACCTATTTGTTTCTGTACATTGTTTGGTTGAATTTCGCGCAAAGCTACACGAGGGCTATCTGCGCTAGCCGTCCCTAATTTAGGAGTGTAAGACTAGAGGGAAGGCAGGTAGTGATCACCACCCACCTCCAACTCTTGGGCTACTCTTTTACTAACGAATAGTAGGATTGACCGTCACATTATAATGCTCCCACGGCTGAAAGGGCGAGCATGTTTGGTGTGACGGGGATTCGAACCAGCGACCCAGAGATTGCGAGTCGAGCGCCCTAACCACCTGGCCATGTCGGGCCTGTTTCTGTACAGTCTTAGCTAGGAAACTGAAATGTGAAGTGGTAGAAGCATATATTTATAGAAACAAAACGAAACAAAGTCCAGGATCAAGGAAATAATAAAATAGACTTCTTTAACAACTAGCCAATCAAATCGTTAGAGGAGTTGCCTGCTGTTAAAGCGCCGGTACAAAATTTATTGAATAATATTTGATATATAATCTGCTACATGCGATCTGTTTTTACAACTGATACGGGTTTAAATGTATGATTAATAATAAAGGAAGGTTGACAGATAATAGTTTGAAATTTATACTGATATTAAATTACAACATAAACAATGTGAATCAAAACCCATATTAATATATATCGTTTTACATATATTTTCATTTTAACATAGTTTCTATGTTGTTCTTAATTTTATGCTATTATATAATATTTTACTTATCACATATTAGGGTTAAGAAGCTAGTCTTGCAGCTCTGTACGTTATAGCACTAAGTCTTGATGTAAAGCTCATTCAAGACTTTTCTTGCTATTACGACAGTCAGATTATGTAGAATTGTGCCAATAACCTTATAAACAGCGACATCTTTTTTCAACATATTCATTAAGTTTTTCACGAATGTCATAACTGAAGCGTCTTTTAAGAATAAATTAATTGCTGAAATTGCTCTTATAAAATTAAAAAGACAAATTCTTATATCTTAACCTTTTCTTTAGAGTCATTTAATGGCTTTTAAAATATACATCACGTTGTGAAAGACTTATCCGTTAATAGAAAAAACAGACAGGATCATTTTGAGTAATCACTGGTTAAACATCTGTTTATATATACAATCGAAAGAACTGTTTAGTATTTAGCACAAAGCTTCACAATGGGATATCTCTGCTCTGCTCACCGGGAATGGTAACCCAACTTTTAGCGTTTTAAGCCTGCAGACTTGCCGCTGAGCCATCGTGGAACTGGAGGTTTCTTAATATTAAATTGCCAAGTTTCTTTTACTAATAAATAATGAGATTGACCGTCACATTATGACGCCCCCATTGCTGAAAGGGCGAGCATGTTCAATGATGAGGATTCGAACCCGCGACCCGCAAGTTGCGAGTCGAGCACCCTAACCGCCAGGTAATGCCAGGCCTAAACTGATAAGGATTAAGATAGGAAAACGTACAAATAAACAAGCTTATCAAATAAACACCCATTTTAAAAGTTTTTCGCTTTCATCGTTTCGATGTTAAAAGCAACCAGAATTGGTGAAAATTTAATATTTCGTATGACTTAAAATGATGTCTTTTTATACGTTTTGTTAAATAACTACAAGCTAATCGTGGAAGAAAAACAATTTTGGTTTTTCTGAACATAATTAACGAGAAAGAATAAAAACGTTACAAGCCATGTTGTGTATATATATATATATATATATATATATATTGATAAATAACTACGATCTAACTGTGGAAAAAAAAAAACGACTTTGGTTTTTAAAAACTTTACAAGCCATGTTATATATTTATTTAGTTAAATTTCCTGAACTATTCATGGCCAACTTTCTTGTGTGTGTATGACTTTGTTGGTTTACAGTGTCTTTATAACGTATGAGTAACATAAAAATCTAACGATAAATCAACCAATTTTGAGGATATCTCGCCATTTGCTGCTGGATTACTCTATGTATTTTACTCGGAAAGTTTCCACCAATATTGAGGATATCTCGCCATTTGCTGCTGAATTACTCTATGTATTTTACTCGGAAAGTGTCCATCAATATTGAGGATATCTCGCCATTTGCTGCTGGATTACTCTATGTATTTTACTCGGAAAGTGTCCATCAATATTGAGGATATCTCGCCATTTGCTGCTGGATTAGTCTATGTATTTTACTCGGAAAGTTCCATCAATATTGAGGATATCTCGCCATTTGCTGCTGGATTACTCTATGTATTTTATTCGGAAAGTTTCCATCAATATTGAGGATATCTCGCCATTTGCTGCTGGATTACTCTATGTATTTTACTCGGAAAGTGTCCATCAATATTGAGGATATCTCGCCATTTGCTGCTGGATTACTCTATGTATTTAACTCGGAAAGTGAGTCATTTCACCGAATATATATATATATAGTGTCAACTCATTAGGTAAGAAGTTAAAGTAAGTTAATGTTATACAGTATGTGAACCCCTACCGGCAGTGAACGGTATAAAACAAGTCAATGATTTGAAGGTTAAGACAAAAGTTCAAGGTGAATGTTTTTTGTTGTGACCGTATATTTCGGCCAGTCCGTATTAGAGTCTTATACCTTCCAGCGCCATAACAATCGTTCATAATTATTATCATTTGAACTGACGTACCACACACACCAGATGGAGATACAGTAGTTTAAACTACCATACTTTTTAAAATACGAACCGCCCTTCGCATTCCTATAAATCTCTTAAAAACTGTTTTATTATATAAATTTTAATTAGCGAATTTCAGTAGAGTAAAAAAGCGTAGATTAAAGACTCTGAAACTCTGAGAAAATAATTATTTTCTATTGACACAGAATGAAAATAAGCAGAAACTGAGAACTCCGTCAGCTTTTCGCACATGTTACCATCTTCAATAATTGTTTTAAAAGTTAGAGAGGTAAAGGTTAATATAACCATATTTTATTAGATTCAGTACACGAAGCTTACGTTAAACTTTGAAAATTAAAAGTTGGTACAAAAGATTGCCATGAACAATAGTTCTTGTACATACATGTATGTATTATTTCTGTCGTCGCAACTGTTTTTAAGGTCATTAAAAGTCAAGATACGGATTCAGAAGCATTTATATACCATCTCTGTATTCTCTGAACCCAGATGGTTAACTGTCACATTTTATAGCACTGAAGCCAGATGTGGCTTAGTCGTTAGAATGTTCGGACTGTGATTCCGAGGATGCAGAGTTCGAGACCCTTTTGCCGTAAAAATGTACTCTGTACTTTGGAGCTATAAGAATGACAACCAAATCAAACTAATTTTGTTTAGGTAAGAAAGAAGAGTTGGTTTTGGACGGTGGTAACAAGCTTCCTTCCCTTTAATCACCCAGTTTTCGATTAGGGACGGTAATGCGCAGATAGCCTTTCTGTAGCTTTGCGCAAATTTCTGAAATAAATACTACAACACTGTTTATTAAATTGGTTATAATGTCTTCCAGTTGAAAGGTGTACAGAGTTTGTTAACGTTAAGATACTCGTAACACCTTCATTCTTATTGTTTCACGCTATGAAAAAAAAAAAAAAAAACGCAAAACTTGCGCCCTTTGAAAGACGCCCCCAGTGGCTCAACCTTAGTGTTGAAGGCTTATAACGCTATTTTTTTAAACAGGTTTCAATATCCATGGTTGGCAAAGGACATGTAGCCCGTTTTATAGCTTTGTGTTTAACTACAAAAAAACAACAACAACAAAACATAAACGAATAAACAAAACACTGAAAGACTGAAGAAACACCTGATGTGCTACACAGTTTAAACATCTCAGAACAACACATTTCTCACGTTTTGATCTTTAAGTATATAGAGACCGCGTAGGTCATGAATTTCTTTCTAACAAGCACTACCAGACAGTCAATTTACTTGCTTTTCTCGGAAATAAATAAAATAATTTCAAAAGGAAATACCATAAACTCGTCTACAGACTGATAAAACACGTCTTCTAGAATTGAAAGAGTGAGTTAATATGAACTGAAGCAGGTTGTTGGACTGCTTGTTTTGAATATTAGAAGATGTCATTCCAGATAAAGAACATCATATTCATTTTTCCACTTATTGTTAAGGGCGAACCTTCGGATGCTCAGATCTGGAGGAAAGATAAATCTTACAGTAATGAGTTCTTTGAATGGTTATTAATATTATTATTTTATTTAGTGTTTGCATGAGAGTGCCAATTCCAAATATGACCCTTGCTGAACCTCAAGCAGTAGATAAGAGAAAATTCTAACCAGAATTACAAGGCTGCTTATTACTGGTCCTTGCTCTTGCCTCTTCAGTCATGATCTTAACAGGCTTAGTAACAGGGTCGTTAATTCTTACGATTGCTACTGGTAAGACTGAACAACCGCGAATCGGATCTTTTGACTCTGGAACTCAGATCATTATCTGGAGCTCTATGTAAGGACTGTACCTTCAAGTATTCTATCAACGAAATCTCTAATACACGAATGTTTATTCTGGTGATGGTGCGAAGAGAAGAAAATTGTTAACAACCTTAGAAAATGACGAAATTTTAGTTTTAAACAAGCTTTAAAATAAGAATCGATATGCCTTTTAATACATACATTCTTCAAGAACAAGCAAACGTTGGTATTGTTTTCTTTCACTACATTTGGTACACTAAAACTCACACACCCACAAACAATAACATAGATATACATACATAGATATATGCGGACATCATACATATATATTATGATGTGAGCCTACGTAACCATTACATAATTCAGGCATGTTGCTTTATGAACTCATCCAACCAGGGTGTAATTTCAATGTACTTTTTATTAACGCACCCAACATTTCGTGTAGTTATTTAAAACCATATCCAATTGACAAGTGTTTTAGACAATTCAGACACTCTTTGATGAAACGTAAGCTAGTTTTTGTTATGAAATATTATTCAGCGTTTTGAAAATGCTACATATTCTCATTACGTACGTTTAAAACGGCCCCCATTGAGACAGAAGTAAGTTCACGAGTTTACAACGCTAAAATCCGGAGCTGGCTACCCATGTTTGTACAGAGTGCACTTAAACTATGTAAAACATTTAAACTATTATGTTCAGCATTTAGGTACGTCTGTTAAACTTCAGGGAATATTGCCCTGGTGTAATTTCAAACAAACTGAAACACTAAGTTTTATTTGCATAGCTTTCATTCTTTTATGATAGATATTAGAAATTAATGTAAAAACTCTCATTACAATGAACTCAAAAATATATTTAATTACGTCATGACAGCATATAAGCCATTGTCGGGTCAAATAGAGGATAAGTGGAATTTATAAGGCAAAAACACTAGTATAAAATAATGTTCATCGTTGCCTGAATTCATTGTTATGCAAAAGACTGATCATTCAGTATACGCTCGTAAAAAGAATATTTGGCAGATGTGACTACATCTTATAGTTCATGGTGTTTCACTTTACTAGAGAATAAACTCAACACACATGGCAAATACAGTCTGCTATCGATATTTAATGACTAAAATTAGTGAAGAATTCTCGGCCACTCTCCAGACAAAGTTTTTTTTAGAACATTTTTTTTTATCTGGAGACATTTGTCCGTTCCAAGAAATCTTAAATGTTTGAAATCACTTGAAGGTTCCTGGGTATTATTGGTGTCTGAAATGACGGTTCCAGGGCATCATTAGTTCCTGGAGTCATTTCACGGTTCCAGGGCATCTTTAGTGTTTGGAGTCACTTGAGAATTACAGGGCATATTTAATGTTTGTACTCATTTGATGGTTCCAGAGCATCTTTAGTGTTTGGAGTCACTTGACACCTTCAGGGCATATTTAATGTTTGTAGTCACTTGATGGTCCCAGAGCATCTTTAGTATTTATAGTCACTTGACACCCTCAGGGCATATTTAATGCTTGTAGTCAATTAATGGTCCCAGAGCATCTTTAGTGTTTGGAGTCACTTGACACTTTCAGGACATCTTTAGTGTTTGGAGTCACTTGTCACCTCTAGGACATATTTAATGTTTGTAGTCATTTAACAGTTCCAGGACGTTTTTAGAATCTGTAGTCACCTGAAGGTTCCAGGACGTCTTTTAGTGGTTGGAGTCACTTGACACCTCTATGGCATATTTAATGTTTGTAGTCACTTGATGATTCCAGGACGTCATTTGGCGGGATGCGACTCATTTTCCAAGCGTATCCCATACATATTTGATAGGGTTGAATTCCAGTGAGCACGCATTCAGTCAGACCTCTCATCTTGATGGAATGTTTCAAAGTTCCGTTTGCAAGCATAAAAAATTGTATGATGTGGTCCCTATCATGAAGGGGTTAACAGTACCATTCTGCAGGACGTTCAAGTCAATAAATCCACTGATGCTTATTCCTTTCTATATCACTCTTTCATTACTGCCAAATAAATGGGTCCGGCATGGCCATGTGGTTAGGGCGCTTGACTCGCAATTTGAGGGACGCGGGTTGTTGTTGGCTTTAATAAATTGGCAGGATTAACGCATTATGTTATTGCACGGGTGGCTACTATTTAAATCGGAGGTGTTGAATTCGTGGTAATAACATGAGGAATACAGCTAGATTATGTATCGAGGGAATACTAAAGAAGAATACTTCGTTTAGCACAGTTAGTTTTATCAATAAGTTTGTCCATTCCTGTAACTCCCTGTATGACGGTTTGTTCGTGTTTCCCTCTGTGTGTTTTACAACTCTTTTCTTTACCTGGGGGCTTGGCTGTATGTTTTATATAACTGGGATACAACCTTGGATATGTACCTACTGTGGTTCTTCACTGGATTTCCAGGCCCGGTATGGCCAGGGAGGTAGGGCGCTTAACTCGCAATCTGAGGATTGCGGGTTCGAATCCCCCTCCCACGAAACACGCTCGCCCTTTCAGCCGTGGGGGCATTATAATGTGACGGTCAATCCCACTATTCGTTGGTAAAAGAGTAGCCCAAGAGTTGACGGTGGGTAGGGATGACTAGCTGCCTTCCCTCTAGCTTTTCACTGCTAAATTAGGGACGGCTAGCGCAGATCGCC